AAGACATATTTCGGGGATTAAAAAGTTTGAATGTGGAAATCGTTTTAGTGGTAAAATTTAGGGACAAAAAATGTAATTTATCACCACCAAATTTTTTGGAGGAATTTTCATCTCCCACCCTTCCACTATTTTCCTATTTTTTCTCCACCAAATCTTATTTTTATTTCCAAATATAGAGATGAAAATAGGATTTGGAATAATTAACACTATTTTATTAATTAGCATATAAAATAATAATTTTAACTAATGGCACTTTATTGTCCCCTTATTAACATATTTATTGTAAGACATTAGTTTTAATTAGTAGATTAGCTTTTAAAACATAAATACATTTTTTATTATCAATAAAAACATTAATTCTAATGGATATAAATATGCTTATGTTTAATTATTTTATATCTATTTGGTATCCATGTTGATTAGTATATTTTTATTTAACTAATTCGATAATTGCTATTAATAAAATATAATAAGCAACAACAAAATAATGGGTTAAATACAAAAATATCCCTATACTATGGACTTTGTATCATATACCCTATGTACTACACAAATATAAAAACTCCCCTACTGTTATATTTTTTTCCAAAATCTGACAAAAATACCCCTGCTAAGCCTACAAATATAAGGGTCTCCTTGAGCCATTTCTATTATATTTTTTAACATCTCAATTTTACTTGGGAAATTTTGATATTTTTTTTTCTCCAAAATATTTAATTACTTAGATTTTTTTTAGTACCCCCCTCTAGTCGGGCGATAAATCGAACCGGTTTATCGGAATACTTTATTTAGATAGCGGAAGCAAAAGGACCTCTTTGTAATTTTTAAAACTTTCGAATAGGACCAAAATGTAATTACTAAAAATATATGTTTAGGACATTTGAAAACCTTAAGAATTTCGAAAACTTTCTTAGGGTTATTTTAGTCGTCTAAACTTTTCGTTTAAAAATAACTTTCAAATTGAAGTTTTTATTCGAGTGCTAAGTTTTTTTTTTTTTTTTGAGGAAAAAGTGATAAATAAATTAGGCTAAATGCCCTAAGTCAGAGGGAATGTAAATACCCTCATTACATGAATAACCAAGGTTCGTGGCAAAAGAGTGAGCTAAAACATTGCCCTTACGACGAATAAAAGAAAAGATGCAACTAGAAAACGAAGAAGAAATCGAAATACATTCTTCGATGAATGCACCAAACGAAGTTGAATTGTTCTCTTTATTCTTGAGAAAGTTTATGACTGTGAGGTTATCTCCCTCCAAAATGATATTGTCCCAGCCTTGTCTCCGAGCCCATACCATGGATACTAGAGTTGCGTGGGCTTCACAATCAGTGGGTGTTGGCTTCCCTGGAAAGTGGCGAATAGCCCAACCAAGACATTGACGATCGTGATTCCTCGCCACCATGGCACATGCATAAAACGGCTTACCAGGAGGTAGAGCTGCATCAAAATTGATTTTGATGCTGCCCATTGGTGGAACAGTCCACGTAGACGAAAGAGAGGGGCGGGGCCCGCCGTTATGGTGCATATGGTGCGCTTGGAACAGGGATAGTAGATTCTCACACCAGCTCAGCAACTCCGCAACATGGATGTCGTCATGCCCATGCAAATGGTTGTTAAGTAGCTGCCAGCTCTTTCATGCAATAACAATCGCCAAATGAAATAAATGGTCGTTCAAGTTCCGCCGAGTAAATCTGATCCAGGCCCAAAAGGACTCCAAATGAGAGAAAGGTTGGAGATTAAATGGAGGGGCCTGCCAAATTCGGGACATTCCACTGCACTCATACGTTGTATGCACCATTGTCTCTACTCGGCTTTCACACCTCGTACACTCAGGGGTCGGAGTAATTCTTCGCCGAAACAGCTCAGCCCCCGTCGGCGTAATTTCGGCACAAGCGCGCCATACGAAGTTTTTAATTTTTGGGGGGAGCTTCAACTTCCAAACCATCCTCCAATCCTCCGCCACTGTCCCACTACCATCGCCACCCGCTCGTCGTTGCGAAACACTTGAGTGCAACCTGCTATTGAGAGCATTGAGATAGAACGAGCGGACCGTAAACTTCCCATTAGCCGAGTAATGCCACACCCAACTATCCTCGATCAATTCACTACCAATAGGGAAATGAAGAATCCTATCTCGATCCACTGGCCAAAAGCATTGGTCGATGAGGTCAACATTCCAACAATTCGAGTCTTGATTTATAATATCCACCACTAAATTTGGAAATGCAGCGTCAAGTAAAGACGTTGAAGTTCCCGTCCTCCACTAACCACGGCTCTCCCCAAATGGCCGTCGTTTTCCCATTACCAATTCTCTTGCGCATTCCCAATAAAACCAAGGGTCGGGCCTTAAGAATACTTCTCCAGGTTGCGCTTGGTCGATTCCCAATTTGTGCTTGAAGAATATCGCCCGACGGGAAATATCTCGCTTTCATTACCCTTGAGATAAGAAGATCTGGTTGGGTAATAAAGCGCCACATTTGTTTGGCGAGAAGCGCCAAATTGAATAGCCTCAAATCCCTAAAACCCATACCCCCGATTGCTTTTGGCTTGCAAACTCTCTGCCAAGATACCCAGATCATGCCCTTCGATCCAGCTCTTCCCCACCAAAACAGCCTAATCAACAACTCCAAGTTCCGAATTAATCCTTCAGGTAATGCAAAGAAACTCATAATATAAGAGGGAATTGCTTGTAAAACCGACTTGATCATAATTTCTTTTCCCGCCTTCGAAAGTTGTCGAGCGCCCCAACCCTTGATGCGACCCCATAATCTATCCCGAAGAAATTGGAATATCTCCTTACGAGATTTCCCTAGTGATGCCGGCATCCCCAAGTATGTATCATGTCTCTCCACTTCCTTGAAGCCCAAAATTTCCCTGATATGACCTTTGGTAGTTTCGCAAGTATGAGGGCTGTAGCACATAGTCGTTTTGGCCAAGTTGATTTCTTGCCCTGCGATACGAGCGTATAAATCTAAAATATTTTTTAGTACGAGCGCATCTCCTGGTTTGGCGCGACAGAACAAAAGGGTATCATCGGCGAAGCAAAGATTAGTAATGACAGGCGCCTGTGGTGCAGTACGGACTCGATGAAGTTGGCCACGAAAAACCGCCATCTGAATCATCGAGATCATAACTTCTGCACACAAAATAAACAAAAATGGAGATAGGGGATCTCCTTGTCGAAGACCCCGGGATGGGGAAAGAATTCCAAACTGCGAACCATTAAAGAGAAAAGAGTAAGAAACCGAAGAGACACACAACATGATAAGATCAATAAAATGAAGGGGGAAACCAAATCGAGCAAGCACTCTCCTCAGAAAAACCCATTCAATGCGATCGTAAGCCTTGCTAATGTCTAACTTAATTTCCATATAAGACTCTCTACGCCCAGATTTAGTTTTAATAAAATGATTAATCTCGTAAGCAACTAAGACATTGTCCGTAATGAGGCGGTGGGGAACAAATGCTGATTGAGTAGGGGAAATGATGTCATTAAGAATACCCGTAAGACGATTGGTGATAATTTTCGAACCAATCTTGTAAATAACATTACAGAGGCTAATTGGCCGATAATCCGTGATTTTCTCGGGGGAGGTGATTTTAGGAATTAACACTATGAGAGTATAATTCAAAGCTCTAGAAAGTTTTTTATTATTAAGAAAATCTAGACACAAGACACCACACTAGCT